ATATACTATCAATGAAGCGTACACAACCAAACATTCTGTTCAACTTTAATAACTGTATCTGCCTTAGGTTAGTATATTATTATTAAGTGAAGCAAACATCTTAGAAATAATCTCAGATTAATCAACAACTTTGAAGTGCTGACTTTTAAGCATGCAAAACATTTACTTAAGTAGCCTTAACGAAGAAAATTACTTTTCAAAAGATGAACACAAAATGTATTCATAAAATAGATGTGCTAGATTGCAAGACAGAAAAAAAGACAAGCTGTCCGGTATCTGTGTGGGCCGTACTTATTGGGCAGTTTAAATGCATTGGCTATTTGCTCAAGTTAAATAAATAAATGCAGCTTTACTTAGCCAGCAGGTTGAAGTTTTTATAACCATACATCAGAAGTAAATTTCCTCTTTATCCTTTCCTATTACTTATCTGGATTCAAGTTCTTATTTAAAGATGGAAATTTACTGCAAAACCAAACATGATAATATCTGCATATCCCAGGTATGGTTTTTTTGTTTGTTTTTGAACTATTAGGAAGCTATTACATTTCACTTACATAACTCAATACCTTGCAAGCTTATAAGGTAAAGGTTTCATAATGCATGTCATATTCTTAGTGTATTCAAACGTTCCACTAGAAAACAAGAGTCAGAGAATTAAAGTCATTAAAAAAAAATTAAAAGATATGCCAAAAAATGAATTAACCAGATCACAGTTGCAGTGTAGAAGGAGGAGGGGGAAGGGAGGAGGAATCAACCATCAAAACAGAAAAAAACACTGCATCCCAAAAATAGCATCCCAGGATTTAGACAGAGCACTACAAATTAGCTATGCCTAAACTTTAATAAAAAGCCGTGAAAGCTTTAAAGTCCAATAAACGAAACAACTACAGCAACACACATGGGACATTCAGCAGTGGTTCATTGTATTATCTTTTTCATAATAAAATGTGCCCTCTGCAGTTCTATATCAAAGTTCACATTCCTTTGGTGACGACAGCAGCAGATGTTTGATGTTTGTAGATATTTCAAATTATTAGTTTGAACTTTGTAGGCGTATCAAACTGCATCTGCTTCTATCAACAAACCCAAGATGTTTTATTTCTACTAAGCAGAGTCTTAGCTCTACTAATTTGATTAAAGTAAAATAAAAAATGGTTTTTACTGATGTACTTGCAATATGAGCATTTGTATCTTTAAAAAGTGAACCTATCAAGAACAAAGCTAATGTACTGTGTACAGATAAATATGAGTGTACGATCAAGATGTACTTCTATAAGTGATAAAAATTTGGTATTGTTCAGCAACAATGTCAAAAAGAGATTAATCTACTTGTCTAGTGTATTTATAAATTCACATAAGACATGCCACAATCACTTTAACATGTGAAATGCCTTCTGCAACAACATAAGCAATAAAAACATTCTGTATACCATCAGTGGTTTCTCTAGCATTATTCCCAGCACTTAAGAGTAGATTCTGGCTTCAATAATATCTAGCAGACTCTTGTTATACGGTCTTTTTTTCATTATTCTAGGAGTTGAAGTACTCACTTTTTACTGTTTGTTAAAATTTGTTCTCTTATTATGATACACATACTATCATTTGATATTCTCTACTGCTCAGTCACTACACACATGACAACCAGTGTCTGTCAACATACTGTAGCTAAAAACACACCAAAGCATGGTTTGCATACTACAGCGAGGAAACACAATTTTAGCTAAAACCTATCAATTCAGAAGTCTGATTCAAATCAGCATGTCCAAAGCGATCTGTTAGTAACACGGCTTGTGAATGTTAATTATTCTGGCTATAACAGCAATTTTCAATGTCATCTTTGCAAATCCTTATGAATTCATGAACTTCCAGAACGCAGAACAAACCTATTGAAGCCTACTGTTGGTAGGATGAGAAACACTGAACAGAAATCTGTACATCTACTTGCAGATTTTTATTGGTTGGAAAGAATAGAAAGGAATTAAAGCCATAAATAACATCAGTGATGAAGGGGAGAAGGGATGGGCAAGATATAAAGATGATGAATCTGTTCTAAACAAGACAAGCAATTGCATGCTGTGAAAAATATATACAACACAAAGGTCCATTGTTTTAGGCACGGTAATTATAATATGAAGACCATAATCATCAGTGGTTTTAGCAGTTGAAGAAATTTTAGTCAAAGGGGGGCTACTTAAAGTTACTCACATCAAGCATTTGGAGGATTGGGCTCATGCTGATACAAAGATCAATCAAGCGATGCAGTTATCTGTAATTTTTACTTTTATTTCAGGGCAAGCTTATACTGTTCCACAAGAAACAGTGCCATCTGCTGACAAAAGAAGTAACAGCAGAAAAAAGGAGTATAAGACAGCAAGACTGTTAATGATTTTCTTAATAAACTTAGTTTCAACTTCTAAAGAAAGTAGTGAATCCCCAGATTGTTTATGCACATTTCTTCTGGTACTGTCTAATAATTTAAAGTTGAGACGGAATCCTAATCAGAAGATGAGGAAGAGATGTTCTTTAAGCATTTTGGCAAGCTACATCTCCGTCCTCAATCCCACTGCACAATCCACAGCCTCTCCCTTTCACAGACTAGAACTCAACATCCTGTTAAGAGTTACTTTCTACATACAACATGCTTATTACAGAATGTTGATCTATGCTGCATTTCTTTTCGATCATGTTGAAATTTGTATTAGCAGAAAGATCAGGAGAAAAGTATGAATTCAGAGTAAAAACACTTTCGTACATTTAGAAAAATGAGGCAACTATGGGATTGTGCTGTTTTTTATTGTGTTTTCAATGGAGAAATACATCATCTGTTTACAAAATAGCTCTTGAAAAATACAAGGAGTACAGATACTATAAAACAAAGCAAACTCCAGTCATGAGACACTACGTACATCATGCGAAAGCAACAGTCTGATCTCCAGGTTATGAAAACTAGAATTAAAAAGTCACTATACAGAAAAGTTCCAAGTTCCCAGCTTGGCAAAACTTGGGTGCAGTTACATGAAACGTTTAATAAAATGAAAAAGATTTTTTGATGTGTAAACAAAATGACAAGACTAAAATTGTGCCTGGCAATTTCGATCTAAACTCCATAGCTACACAAAATACACAGACACCTTGTACACTTCAACTGTTAATATAACCTTCTTTGGGAGGTGGACAACAGCAGGCTGCACAGGGCAAGGAAAAGTGAAGATCTGTATACTAGACTTCTTAGACAAATGGCAGAAAAAAAACAAAAAACCTTCAGTTACTGCACAGCCTAAGTAAAAGATAAGCTACACTCTGACTTTGGAGAATTAATTTAGAAGGATAAGGGGAAGAGTGTAAGTAATTTAATTTTAACATGAAAGATGCACGTGTAAAGAGGATGGAGCACAATGGGGGAAGAGAGTTCATAAAACATGCTAATCAAAGTAGGGGAATATGATTTGATATCCCACATATCAAATAAGTAACAGTAACATGAAGTTTGTTATCTACACTTGTTATTACTGCTGATATCCCTCATATTCTTCCATACTGCTCCTCTTTGCCATGAGAGATTCAGTTCTTTCAAAAGAAATAGTTGTTACTTATCTTTTTTTATAGGACTACAGAACAAAAAATAGGAGTAAGAGAGCTTAGTAGATGTCAAGTGCTTACTAGAAATAATATTTTTAAAAATTCAATGTTGTTCAGTATGTAAAACTATTTTTGATGAGTCATCTAAAAACAAGAAGTTTAAAATTCTTGGGGAAAAATCTTTTTTCCTTTATTTAAAATTTGAAACTTTTAAATGCATACAGAACTTTTATGGAGTGTACAAAAATCATCTCATATTTAGTGATTCAGAGGCCATCAAGACAGGTGTTACATTTCACAGGCACACAGATTTACTTAAACACTTCAGTGATGGGACAAACTTTTGAATTTGTGCCTACAGGCCACAAGGTATTATGATTATGTAAGGGAAAACAAAAAACGAAAAACAATATTATGGTCTGGCTTGTTTTTATTTTGTATAACTATTGTCCTATACGGTGCATACAAGCTGCAATAAAAACCCCAACACTAAATGCAAAAGCTTTTCCCAAGAAATACAATAAAGAGCTCAAAAAGGAAATAAGTTTGATTAGTTCAAAGGAAAGTTTATTCGCTGTTTGACTGCTGATCTGTATGCACCTTAAAACAATCCTATAAATAAAAGTAGACAACATCTTAATCAAGTCCCACCAATACCAAAAACTTCCCAATTACTTCCTCAACATATGTCTCATTACCCCAGGATTGGACATTCCACTTGAAAGGCTTACTGCTGCTTGATGGCAGTTGAACTAGATACACTATACACTTTGTCTTCAATGTATAGCATATCATAGATCATCATCCCATTCGCAGATTACTACTGAAGAGATTCATCAATAAAATGAAAACGCATCAGCTGAAGATCTAAGATTAGTCATACTCCAATAAAAAAAAAAGTACATAAAAGTGCATTTAAGGGATTCTTATGCCAGTTTTATCTCAATTTTGAAACAATGCATCAAACAAATTCAATCAGTATGTCAAATATGGATACAAATAGTGTTCATGTTTTTAAAGGCAGTAATCCTTTGAAATACTTAATGCAACTGTTGCTAACACATTAATAGTACTCCTGGCTTCACATACTAACCTGGACTTCCAATCAAGTGGTGATTTTAGCCCAGAAAGGGAAGTGCACAAAATATACCTAAATCCATTTCCGATCATGTTCTAGTCTTGCACTCTCTGTTCTCCTTTTTTTTTCTTTTTTTTTTTTTTTTCTAGCATTAGAAGACAACAGGTTGAGTTGGCAGATATTGTTTATGGACCCCTGAGGTTGTTTTTACCGGTTCAATCTCAATTTTATTGAATTCTTGATAACAGGAATAGGATTTGCAGGGAGAGCAGGGATATCGGAAAGATCTGTACTGGGTGTTTTCTGAAAAGAAAAGAAGAAGTTTGTTTGTATTTTAACTGTAAATTACAGGAATACTGTAGAAATTGGCACCAGTGTTCAACAACAAATCAAATCTTGAGTAGTTTAAAACATACCAAGATAAGGATAATTACAAACTATAAAGACAGAAGCAGATATTCCTTTTGCCTACATAGCCATTTTTAACAACAAAAAAGTGCAGCTATCTCTTTCAAAGTCTGCATCTCCTTTTTCCACGCTGCAAGAAACTAGGAGGTGCTGCAGAGAAAGCTGAGCCTACTAAGAGTCTGTACCATAATAAAGATATAATATCCACCTAATAAGGTTGACATCTGCTATCAGATGAAGACGTTTAATATTTCAAGATTGCTATGAATAACTCAGTAACTCAGTAACACTCTTACGGATTGAAGATGAGATGGCTGACCCCTATGCAATTTGTGTCCTTCTACATTTATACTTCAGATTTTTTAAGAATACATTTTGATCGAATTTCCAGAACGAATTAAAATAGATTAACATGGAGATAGTATGATAAAACACTGCTATATGACCAGGAAAAGAATTCCACATTAAAAATACCCTGAATACTTTTGTCTCCCTTAATAATAATTAAATCTTGTTTGCCTAGGTTATTTCTAAAACCAAGAAAACACTCAATATTCAATACAATAAATTAATTTCTTACATGCCTTAGAGGCCTTTATTTTTAAGCTGCTACCCCTTCATTTGCCTTCCAGTTTTGCATATTATTTGACATCACAATAATTCAGTTATTATTTATTACTTCACACAATTTAACAGAAAATGTTTTCTTATGTTACAAACATTCAAAATTAGTATAAAGAACATTTCACATATGGGAAAAACTGCATTAAAATGACTACTCTCAACAGTTGCTTCATTAAAATGAATCAGCAGAGTACGCTGACTGATGATGGCAAAACACAACACAAAAAAGATTCACAGCAAAATAGCTTTGATAACCCTCCTTCCCCACCAACCTGCACCCAGTAGCCCACTGCCTGGTTCATGCTGACCTGCATTGTTTTCATGTCCTGTAACACAAGCAATGTTCTAGAAGCCAATGAAAATATTGAAAAAGTGACAGAAGAAGCCCAACATAATTTTATAGTTTCCAGATTACCTTTGCTACAGTAACAACTACTGTATTTGTAAAAACTAGAACACTTTAGTAAAAATCTCTTAATAAATGAAATAAATTTGGCATACGTGATCTTTAAAGAAACTAATTTCCTTGAAGTAGTTTGAAGTGCCCACATAACATCTACAATTTCTGCTAATTTTGGTACCTTTATTAGATATTGCTCACGTGGTCTGCTCATGTAGTTCAAAAAGCCTGTTAACAAATACTACTATTGCAATACATCCCCATTTTCAATCAATACATTTACTATACATCATCTAAAGAGCAGAGCGAGCATAAAACAATTTGCAATTGTGAGCTTTTAATCAGTAGAGCAACAAGTAAGGCTTAAAAATGCCAGTAAAGATGTTCTCCAGAAGTGATTATAATACTAGGAAAGAAAGCTTAAGAGACTATCACAGAATGCTACTTACGTTCCTTCACCAGCAGTGAAGTGAGATAGTTGGCTAATAAACTATCAGAACAGAACTTCTCTCTCCCCTCTCACACCAAACACCAGAATCTGAAGCCAACTTTCTCACATTTTCAAACTCTACCAGGACATCTTCGAGCAGCAGCTATTTAAAGCATTTTTTTCCTTGTTAGAAAGGATTATTCTGTGATGTGCAAAGCACAAAGGAATAAACTGAGCCCCTTACTTTGAAGGCACAATTCAGAAGAGCGAATCCAGCTTCGGTCAGTTTGTATGGCAAGCCATACATGTTTAGCTACAATGCATATTCAATAAGATCAATGACCATCTAAAACACAAAAATTGTGACAGTAACAACAAGCAACTTTATTTTTATTTCGATATTTTCAGCACAGACCAACATATAGAAACAGAAATCCACTTTTTTCAAAACCAGTACCTGAGGAGCTTGCAAAGTTGTCTGAAGATGTTCCATTTGGGAATTAACACTCACTTCCGTATCCAATAGCTCCTAAAAATAAACAGATAAGGAACCACGTCTAAGGCCTTGATGAAGTCCAGATAGATAATATCAGTGCCTCTTCCCTTGTCCACTACCAGAGTTACACCATCACACAAATCAACGATGTTGGTTGCAGCAGGGCGCTGGCCTTCTCAACCTCAGCTATCTAGCACCATCCTATATACTTCCCCCAGGTTACTTGCCCATGCTTCCACTGCCTGTGAATTTTCTTCTTGCTCTCCATTTTGAGCAGCACACTAAAAAATGTTTTGCCCACTAGGAATTTGACAGCAACACAAGCCACCTCACTTCTCATTTGTTGATTGGTACACCACCCATAGCTTTTAAGCAGAATCCTATAGGAAAAAGTTGTGTGTCATTCAGTTTATTAAAGAAAAAGGGTAGTATCAAGAAAGACTATGTGACAGATTAATGCACTTCTTGCAAAATTTGACTGCTTTTCCACTATGATGAATTGAGTAAATTCGTTCAATGCTACAGAACTAAGCTGAAGTCATTGAACACACTTCATAAACAGCTGAAGATCAGGACTAAATTCCTACGTAATCAAAATACAGAAGCTGTTTCAAGAACTGAACATTAATTTCATTGCTCAGTATTTCATTTCTTTTTTAGCAGCCCCCCTACACTTATCACTATAGACCAAGTTATCCTCAATCCCTACACATAACTGCATCTTCCTGCCCCAGTAGTTTTTTCAAAAATAGAAGGACTGAAGATACTTTAAGAGTTATTTGTGGAAAATGAAGCCAGAAGAAAGGTAAATTACTTAAGCCCACTTTTACAAAGGTTGCAAATAAACACTGTTTTTAAATTCACATATATATAGATTTGTTACTGAGCAAACTGATAACAAGGTTAAATTCACCATTCTGCCAGAATAGTATTTCTGCTACTTTAGTAAATTAGATCAGTTTTTTCTACGATCAGATGAACATCTGTGGGGCATTAAGTGGGACTGAATGACTAAAATAGGACAGTGGGTCATTCTCCTTTTAATGAAAGCCTGTTACTTAAAATTGTACCAAACAATAAGCCACACCCTACTAAGAGGTTTGCATTTCAAAGCAGTAAAAAAAACAAGTCCATGTTAGTCAAGAAGTCTATTCCCTCAAGTCCTACCATACAAATTATGGACATAAGATTTAGACAAGACTACAACAGAGCCTAACAGGATTACCTACAACTTTTATAATTATCTGTATCCAAAGGATCTAACTTCGACATTAGGATTAAATGCTTACAACCATTTCTGCCTTCACCTGTCTTAAGTTCAAAGCAATTTCAAGGTGACTAAATAAGATTTTTCATTGAAGGGTGTGGAAGTTAAACACAAGTATTAAAGCATACTAGTTATTTTAATTTCTTGGCATATTTTCCACTGCATTCCAAGAGTACCAAGACATGCCCTATAAAAACAGTGTAAGTGGTTATCATAAAGCTAAGGACAGACCATCATCCTTTCCACCAATGGTAAGCAAAAATATTGCCTGGCAATTTACAAGATACTGTAGGAGCACACCTGGACCTCTGGAAGTCCCCAGAGGCTGTGCTACAACTGCACAAAATATCCATCAGAAAAGACTTTATATAGCACCATTCATTTCCCCACAATCTAAAACCTGGCAAGTTAGCACAAGCTTTTTTTTTGTGTTATGCATAACACAGTAGGAATGACCAGCAAAAAAAAAATAGATCACTATCTATGTGTCAACAGACTTGGGGAGAAGGTAGACTAGTATCAGGTAACATACTGCAATTTGTTAACATACCCTTTAAGAAGAACATATGAATTTGATGTCTTTAATGGAGAGTCTATACTATATCTACAAGTACTACCAGTCATTTCTAGGGTAAAAAAAACCACAGTGATTTTCCAAAGTAAGAGCTGCAATGAATGCAGGCAAATTATATAGACCAGTGATAGATACCTTTGTTTCCATTCTCTCATGCTCATTCACATCTACACAGCTAGTAGCTTCACTTATTTCATCCTGCTGAAATGCACACAAAACAAGAAAACTATTACCAATAATGAAAACATTAGTTAAAAAACAGAAGAAAATACAGAGAAAGAATTAACTGCAATGCATAACATTATACTCAAAACTGCTTTTAAGAATTTAGAATCTAAGTACTTGTGCTGATGCATTTGTATGTGTCACATGATGAGTATCAGCATAATACAGAACATAACACCTTAGTAAGCTGAATATACAAAGAAGATGCAATCAGAGGAGGAAATACACAAAACTAACAAAGTATTTGAAATCTGGAACATGTGAATCAGTACTCAGAAGCAGAAATTAATATTCAAAGTTTTGGATTGAAGCACTGCAAAATGCTACAATCTCAAAATCTCAAATACCTCTTCAATTTTCATTTTCTTGGGAGAATCTTCTTTATGGGGAGAAGATGTCCTTTTCACTGCTGTGACAGGGCTAGGCGTTTTTGTTGCAACATTTCCTGAAATTCTGGGTGATGGATTTAATAGATGTGTTGAGGAAGCAATTCTAGAGATGGTAGGCTTTGGTGGTGGAGAAATGGCTGGTTGTGTGGCAGTTTGAGGAATGCTTTCATTTGAAGAACCTACAGGTAAATAATTTTAAAAGATTTAGCAAGATTAGTTCAGACAAACATTTCAGTTTCCAGTTACTAGTCCAGCAATCATTAATCAAATAGTCTTCAAGAAATTGGAAAAGTTGGTGGTAAAAGCATTCCATTTGGAACAGCAAATGTTTAGTTTCAAGCTCTTTCTAAAGGGAGAACTCACATACCAGACACAAGGCAGCGACAGCAGTGACACTCTGCTAGGCCTAATAAGCCCTGCTAAACAGCAGATTATACTAGCCAGGTGAAGCTCTGTGCTAATATACCTATTGTGTTCTTGGTACTCAAAGAAGTACTGCTTCTGTACTCAGCCATATGTACACTGCCTAAGAGTGCCTTAAATCCAAGGCAAATCTGATACTCCCTTTTTTCATAGAAGCCCTGAGTGTATCATTGCTCGGGCTCAGTGTACAAAACTATGAAGTGAGAGAGAATGACATAAACATCAGACATTCTCTACATCCTTTTGAAAAATGTTCCACTTAAAGCTATACCTCAACAGTTGCCTATCTCAAATCAATAAGTATATGTAGGATGTTTTTTCTCTATCCTATGATGAGAAAAAAATTACACACCTACTCATATTAATGCACTTGTAACATGATAAAAGAAATGAAAATCATAAGATTTCACCATGCTAAATTTCTGAGACTGATGAACTTTCACCTTGGAAGGATAACCAATCCCTTTTGCATCTGCTTTGGTTCATGTACACAGCTGAAGTACCAGCAAGCCAGCGACTCCTTTCTTAAGTGAACATTTTCACCAGATGCCTTTGTTACTTCACTAAAACATCAATTCTTTTCAGAAGTATGTTTATGTTTTCTTGTAGAAAATATAGAAGATAAAGCAGCACACACAGTTGGATATGCTTTAAAAGACATCACTAGGGAGCATTTGTTGTACTGAGGCTTTTTCACTCTTAGAATTCATTTCATGCAACAGGAGAAGGAACATGGGAGCAGTTTACAGGCAGTAAAGAACCACCCCTTGGATTTAACAATGAAATGGATTAAAAAGAAATGAAAAAAATTATCTTCCAGATTTGGACATTTTTTCTCATTAAACCAGTCAATCTGTAAACATCATCTACACTGGAAAACTTTATTGCTAGTGCAAGTGGCAAACAAAAGAATAAACAAACACTGCTGTACAAAATACCCTGCCGTGATTTCCCAAGTCTAAAAATATTAGTTTATCTGTTTATCAAGCAGAGTATGTTACAGCACATATTTAATGAAGACCTCAATAGAAGAAATACTGCTCTACAAAAATCAATAGAAGCAATGTACTACATCATTTTCCTTACCCCCTGAGCTTTCACTGGAATTTGTTTGTGGCACAGTGACTTCAGAAGCCTGTATGTTGGTCACAGATGCTGCTGTTACAGCTGGCGCAGGACTGCTTCTGCTAGAAGAAAAAAATGAAAAAATGCTTAATATGAGTAAAGCATGCCTATCCACTTTTCATCACCACATTGTATACGTGGCCACTACAGCTGAAACAACCTACATTACAGAGTACATCACACAGTTTTATGCCATAAAGTGTGAAGTGTGAAGACAGAATTTAGCATTAGTCATCTATGAAACTTGAGCAAATACAGCTTTATAGACTGGCAAGAAACTGCATTAAAAAAAAAAAAAAGGCAAAAGTTCAGGCAAGTCTGATCAGATGAGATACAGGGGGAAGTATAGCAATTATTTTCCCTTGGGACAGAACAACAATGATATACAAGGACTGGAATAGAAAGACTGTTTTCAATCTACATGCACCACTGCAAATGTAAGTCCTGCCCGGATCTTCTCAGCAAAACCTGGGATTTCACACGACAAAATTTTCTTCCCTCTCTTTTTCATGAACTACAGAAACTGTGTGTTTAAAAATAAGACAGGTTAAGTTATACTTCAATTGTGACATGCCAGATACTGTATTTGCCCAAAAACTCCATATTCTCACACTTCAACTTGCTGTTCACAACCTCTCACAGCCCTACTACTATGGTGACTAAGTTTTTGTTTCACCTTTTCTATGCTCTCGTATCCAATGTCATAACTCCTCATCTTAAGCCCAGTGCTGTGCTGCTCCCCATCCCACAAACGCAGCTCTGCTCTAGCGTTCAAACTGGAACCGCAGAAGTCTTCAAGTTCCAGTCTGAAATATTTACACCCCAACATAACAGTACTATCTTGTGAATGCAGTACTTGCCATACTTAAATACAATTCAGGAACAGAAAGTAGCCTCAAGACTGAAAGTCTTCATTACCCCTGAGAACTTCCAGAACTGTTCAATGGACTCGTCTTCATAGCACTAGTAGGCGAAGGCACAGACGTGCTGTTATCACTGTCCATAGACAAGTCTAGGCTGCTGTCATTCAGAGCTGTCAGTCTGACTCCTTCTGTTGAATGCTACCATCCACAACACAAAAGAAAGTTATTAGGTTTAGTAAAGGACATAAATAAATAAAGTAAATAAACAAACAAAAAAGCAGATTCAAAAGACATGGAATTTTAGTCATGCAAAATATCAGCTGTTGCATCTGTGAAGAAAAAAGAAATGAGAGGTAATCTAATAGTGGTAAGCTTCCACTGAGCTAAGCACATACAAGTGCCCTAAATACAGTTATTTTCAGAAAAAAATCTGAAAAGAGGACTGATGTACAATACAAAATACGAATGGACAATTTTCCAACTATAAGCACTTACGTTGCCCATAATCAAAGATCAAGTACAGATTCAATGATGTTTAAAAACAGAAGATGAACTGTTTCTTTATTCTTTGCAGCTTATAGACACTGCTTTCACATTAGCTTCAAAATTAATAGTGACGTACACCAAAATTTACATTTTTAGGATACAAAAACAAATACAAAAACTTAAGAGACCATCTGGAACTTAAACAGCAAAAAGGTCACTGCTGAATATCAGTGGAGGACAAAAACCCTACTATGACATACGACTACTTAAAAAGATGCATGACTTAACATTTGCATTGCTCCCTGAAATGTACTGAAATCAAGCCTATTTGTAACAAAAAATGTTCTATAAGTTTAAAAAGTTCTTAATATAAAGCACTTAAAGTAAAAACAGTTTACCTTTTTCTTTTTCTGAAGTACATGATTAGGTAGCAGTTGGTGAAGTTGCTTACGTTTCACATGCCTTGCAGCAATCTTCATATCCATCTCAAACATCTTGCTGTTTATTGCTTGCCTATAAACTACACAATTAGAATAACATAAATACGTATCAAAGTATATTGCAAAGTCCACTTATTTGCCCTGGAAAAAATGATTTGTATTACAGAATATCTGTCACCCTCAAGAAAACCCTCTGGAAAAATAAGTGAACTGCCTACTACACAAACACTGAGAGCACAATCACAAAATTTGCTAATTTTATTGTTGAAACTGCATAAAAATTTAGATTATTCTGAATTTATACCCAGTAGAAGTTACTCTAAGTGAGGGGACATAAAAACCTCACACTAAGAAACTTTTTAAGTGGACCTCTGAAATCTTTGAAAATATAACCTAGACAAACAACTAGCTAGTAAGTGCATACAGAAGTAAAAAGATCCACAAAAGCACGTTTCTAAGTTCTGTAGCATGCTGGAAAGCATCAGTTTCCTCATGTTCATAGTTGCATTTAAATTTCTGCTCTTCCAAAGGCAAAAAGAAACAAAGAAAAACAAAGCAGGCAAGGTTTCTAGAATTCACCAAATTGTTTTGCTCTGAGATCCATTCATACTCTATTGAAGCCTAAAGACATAAGGATTTTAACAGCGAGTACAGTTCATTAAAAGCTCATGGCTTTTGGGTACTGCTTTGATAAAGAGACCAGCTATTACATTCTTGAACCCTCAGAATGTAAAATGATGCCTAGAGTTTCATCTTTACCCACTTACAATCAAAAGGGTTATTCCAACAGATTTTGGAAAATAATCATCACCTTGACTGACAAAGTCTCATCTAAATATAACCACATATACATACACACAGACAACAGCAGATATACATAATAAATACAGAACTTTCAATCCTAAACATAATCACACTCTTCCCATGTTATCAAATCATTCCTTATGAATTTCTAACATTCCAGAAGTTTTTCATGAGTGAAGGAATAAGCATTTAGAAAGAAAGTTGCTTGCATTTATGGATGGACATGAAACCAAAATTAAATATAGTATGAAATGCCATGCAATAAGACACTTTGTTCAAGAGTTCATTAGGTATCAGTTATAACCCACTCATAAAATCACTTTCACAAAAATATGAAAAAAACAAGCTTTGTATAAATGAAGTTAGGTGAGGCTGATTACATATTATAATCACATCTGCTTAACAAAGATCCAAATATAATTTATTATTTTAATGAGATCCAAAAGATTTGTGTTCATCACTTGGATCAATAATAATCAATCCAGTTATTCATCGGGAGCTTCTGGAAGCATTACAAATCACTACAAGTGTTTTTCACAAAATAACACTAACTCCTCACCTGAATCCTTCTATTTCTAGGTACAGATCTACTACTGAAAGAATAGATTATGAAAAAAACAGACAAGCAGCATGATGTAACAAGTTTCATATCTGAACATCTATAATACAAAACTCACCTGTATCTGTAAAAGACTGGATGTCATAAGTAAGATCCACACTTAAATTTTCAGAATTTTCAGTTTTCTTGAACACCAACCCAATCACCCACATTGTACGGTATTCTTCCCTGCAAAATTTTATGTAAAGTCATTTTTTTTTTTTACAATATCCACCAACAGGATAACCAGTTACTTGCTGACATTGCTGTTTCATTTCCAATATGAAGAAGTCACAAAACATACCATCTCCAGCAAATTTAAACCAAGATTACCAGTAAATAACATCATCTAACTAACTGTGCTTCTGCAAAGATTCTGATTTATTTAAGAGTTGTCACTGGTCATTGCAACCATATAGGAAATGGGAAACAGCAGCTTTTCAGCACCTGACCTCTAAGTCAAAATATTAACATATTCCCTGACTAAACAATTTCAATTTTGCCATCTATATTTGCTTTTAACTCTCAAATTTCTTAGCTCTAACTGACAGCAAAGTGCAGTTTTCAGGTAAGAAACTCTTCACTTTGACAGTTTACTCTCAGTTATTGTACACTGAAAATGAACTATCACATCCCATTATAGAATATATCAGAACACCTCAAGGCACCTGATATTTTAATTCCACGCATTTTCCTTGTAAGACTGTTTCAGAACAATTCCACCTTCCAATCAATTACTGAACAAATTACAGAAAGGCAGGTGAAGAACAACACTCCACTGACATTAGAAGAAGAGTCTTTACTAATAGCTTTGCCACATTCAGTCTTCTGAAATAAGAGGTAATCAGTGCATGATTATCTATGCAGTTCTATCTGTATTTACCTACTAAAATGAAGCTGAAGTTTTAGTGCCCTCTTTTATTCATTTTTTCACTTGGAACAAATATAATTTCTATATTTAACTTTTTAAGGTTAACAGCATACTGTCATTTCAAGCACCTGATGTCTGGGAAGACTGTATGAAAAGTAAACATTTTTTACATAATTCCCTACTTCTCCATTCTCGTAGTTCACAAAAAATTGTAATTCCTTCTAAAGGTAATTACAACACTATTTATACAGAAGCTGAAGTCTTAAAAAGAGAATTTTTAGCCCTCAGCTCCATCATTGTTCTGAGAGGTAGAGAATGGGAGCGACAGAGGGTGAAAGAAGTTAAAGAACCCCACAGAGTACTAGACGGCATTAAGTGCTTTGTATTCCCTTCAATGTTTTCAAATCTTCAAGAATTCTAGTATCAGCTTTTATCAAGTTTAAATGATATGCTTCTCAACTGCTAAATCTTACCTCATCTACTTAAGTTATTCAAAATTCACTTCTATCATGTTTTATTTTCTACTCAATTCTCAGTGCTGCCTTGTAATTAAAACTGTCATGCCAACTAATACCAGGATAGTCAATCAACAGCAGTGAAATAACAGTAGATAACAAGGAGTTACTATTATTTGCAATCATGCAATTACTACAATAATTAGTGAAGCACATTCCTTCTTTAAGACTCTTTTCTGGCTTAGACACATTCTTATACAGAACAAAGAGCGTCCGATTATAAAAACTTCTGAACAGCTGAAAACTGTATGCCCTTAGGGACCGTCACGAAAAATTAACCTAAAATTCTAAAAAAATCTTAGTTTATTAATTATCATATTTTTGCTTACTTGTCAGGATTCTCCTTGGGTGCTGGGAATGACTGTGGATTCACATGAGCCAGTGTAATGAACTCGTTTTTCTCCAGGTTTCCAACTAGAATACGGATTTTTGATTCCACCAAACCCACCCTGCATAAATGTTATTCATTAGTAAGTTCTCATTAATATGAAATAGAAGTATCAAACATTACATATCAGGCAGAAGCTGTTCGCATTTTGCTTACAGAAGTTTTTGAGACTACAAATGAACTAATGAACTATACATGACAAATTCAATCAATAAGCCGAGTAAGCGTGTTACAAAAACTTACACAAAGCAAGCTCTGAAATGAAGAATGCCCTGAAGCTTTATGATCTGCTTTTATAAGTGGATTTAAATAGCAAACAATTAAACATAAGTTATAAGTTAGCACAAAAGAACTCTCAGGTATTTCTGCCATTTTCTTTTAACATCCAATGTAGAATTTGAAAAGATGTGGAAGTTTCCAAAACTTGTCAGTCTTAGATCTTTAATAGAAAAAGAATGTAGAAGTAGGAATTTTTAGTTTGATAAAAATATTTCTAGAGATTGAACACAGACCTACTAACAACTGCTTCTTAATGCGCATAAAGCTTAAGAAAATAAGATTTGTGACGTGAATTTGGTAGTGTTGAAAAGAAAACCAATAAGTCTTCCAATAAAGCCAATAGTCTTCCTGTCCTAATCCTTCAATTTTATTGTTTTTCAGAAATATATCATCACCTTTGTTAAATTTTGGAACAAAAAAAATTACATTTTGAAAGTTTCACATTGCTTCATTAAAAATACACTGTTCAATCTCCTTGAATTCAAGGTTGACAGGTTTTAATCTGCCTTTTTTTTTTTTTTTTTTTTTTTATAATAATAGTAAGCTATGTACTTACCATTCTAGTCGTTGTTTTTCTGTCGGTGCACTTGCTAGAAGCACAATATAATGCCTTTGGAGATAAAGACAATATGCTATTCTATTTATGCTTCTAAAACTAGACATTCAAAGTTTAATATTAACATTAGTAAGGTCTACATTGCAAACTACAGATTATTAGCTTAGTTTTATTACAGGGGGTTTTATTAAATGGACAGAGGGGCTGTGTTCCCCAAGCATGTGACTAAGAGATTTCTCAAAGCATTTCAAGTTTTAGAATACTTGCAACAACACCTGAATGCCAATAACCTTAATAAAAAGCTAGGAACATAGCACCAATTGAAAAACAGCAGAGAAGCTTCCAAACATAGTAAGTGGGGATTTAGCTACTAGCGAGTCCTTGCAAGTAAAAGCAACTGTTCAATCATCTCTACACACACTAACTGTCCTTTAACATTAAATCTGAGTATTTAGATGAGATGTTACCATACATTCATTCTATGTCAGAAGTAATGCTGAATTATGGTTTACAAAAGTCTCATATCTGCATTTTAGAACCATCTAAAGAATTTTACAAGCAAAAAATGTTTCCTCTGGTGACAAATTCTTAAGCTCCCAATTATATTCCAGGATAACCAGTATTCACTTGCTGTAAGCAAGTTTCAAAGATACAAAATAAAAATGGTACTTTAATCAAGCAACCTAGGACAGTAAAAAGGAAGATGATTATCATGAACTTCAACAGCAACAATACAAAAAAACCTTTCTTTTAACCTGAGTTTATAATTGTGGGGTGGCTGACAACCTTACACATCTACAGTCAGGCTTTTCTGAAGCATACGATGTTGAAGCAGACTCTCCTAGCTAAATTAAACTGATTTACTCACTATACTGATACGGTCTACTTAGGTATTCTCCGAGCAGGATTTAAACATCACTACTACCATGAGGGTTTATACACTCATACATCACAGAAAGGAAAGCAAAGTCAATGCTGTTGGAAAAACTATGGTGCAAAGAGCACTCCGATACAACAGACCTTCAAACTGTAATAGTAGATCAAAATCAATAGACCGAACTGGTAACTATACATTTTTTGTATTTATCCACATAGGTGGAATACAACAGGGAGAGGAAAAGAATCTCTGGTGAATGCTATGGTCCTTTTAAATTCAGTCAGCAAATGTCACTGAACTACATGGATTCAAAATGAGACTCAAAAAAACCTGCCTTCTCTTTTAAGTAGCATGTTTTATCAACTTGTTTTTACATTTTGGTGGTATTAACCTCCTCATACAGAAAGCATTAAGGAGTTTTCCACACTGTTTTACTGAAGACTTCCTCCTTTCATCTCCTTCTTAGAATATCATGATTCTTATCACTTTTATTCCTAAAATCTCAATTATTGCTTTGGGCAAAAAAGAAAGTGAGGGAGAAGCTTAACAGATTTTTCCAAAACGTTAAATCTAAGTACACATGCTGCCACCTGAACTGGGTGTTGAGTCATGATGAAGGAACCCTAAAAAAACAAGCATTAAAAAAAATATTCAAACACCACAGAGGAGAATAAGGGTCCATTTCTCGAATTCCATATAAGTCATTCATTTCTAATACAGATTTCTTCTAAGGAGCACCAGAATAGTACTATCATACAAAAGATTCCTACATTATTACCTATCACTACATTAATGGATTTTATTTAATGGAAAAGACAAGTTAATCTTTTTGATGTTTTCTATCAGAGAATCAGAGACAAAACTGCAAGTGTTTGAGGAAACTCATTTTTCCAGGTAATAAGTACAAAACCAGACTTATTTAAAAAGTTCAGGGGAAAAAAAAAACCAAAAACAAAACATGGATTTCACACTTGTGAACCTCAGCTAAGCTGATAAACACAGAAAAAAAGCTTTCTTTATGAGAGTAAGATTGATGATTAGATATTTTTGCCAGGATAGTGCTAGGTATAACATTTAATTGAAAAATAAGAAAATATGAAAATTCCCCTCTCTACTCCAGAAAATACATGAAAATACAGAAAACCTCCTGATGGCGTTCACCTAAGATAAACATAATATTAGTTGGAAGTACTTCTTCTGAAAATAAATTTGTACTTATCCTTTCCCACTGTCTCCCCATCAGCATTTAGTTTTCCTAAGAGCAACTGAACACAGACATTATGAAACTGACTTGTATACACACATAAAAGTGAAGTATTTTTAAGAGACAAAAGGCTTCCTGAAAAACCCAAGAGCACATGAACTTGTTTGTTCATCTTTATTTGTACTAAACTTCCCAGGATTTACACCTACAATATACCCACTGCTTTGAAGTCCTATCAAGGCTACAAACCTTTTCAAATTATGCTCATATTTATCTATTTAGCAGGATATACCCTGGTAATAAAGGAAAAGCATAAGAGCTTTTCAAGTGTATTTCTCTCATCACCACACTGACCTCTTGGTTTTAAGTTCTAATTATTTCATTCTCGTGAAACAGTTCACAGTGATGTTATGTCCGCCTGAAATCATCCCTGTCATTTCCCTGCAAATTATTATAGCCAGCAATATAATTCATTACTGTTTTCCCACTATCTCAGAATTTAGAAACCACACAAAGTGGAGAAAGCACAACTCCCTCACACCAAGTAATTCTTGATGTAAAAAAAAAAAAAAATAATAATAATCAAAATAATTAACACAGATTTCCATATTTTCGCAATCTCTAATCTACTCAGCCATGCAGGTATGCAGTAGCCTCCAGATTTCTTTAGTTACACATCCTTGAAGTTTTAAACAAAGCTAATAGAGCAAAAGTGATTACGACCAAAATTAATGCTTAGCAATTAATTTCTACTGGAGAGTGACAGAGACTACTAAAGCTATCCTTCAAGGGAAGAAATGCTTTTAAAAGCATTTAAAAGCTTGTCTTACAGCAAGAATCAGATTTACCCTTATCCAGAAGAACACTAAACATAGCTTTGAGCTTCAGCAGGAACAAGTGAATAACACACACAATTTAAATAGGAAAAGAGGATGAACGGGGGCAGAAAAATATATACCTAGCTTTCAGATGGAGATTTGACCAATGAAAGCATATTTATTACACTCTTATGACTGCATATAATTATTTATTTTCTAACATTTACTAACCAAAGTTTTAAATAAACTTACTATGATGTAACAGACGGCATCTTGGGTAATTTAAATTAAAACATGCTCTATAATACCATACACGGTTAAAAAGAGAAAAAAAAAACAAAGATTTTGCGCACAAAATCTGAATCTTCAGTGCTGGCAAAAGCAATTTTTGTGGCACTGATAAAATTCTACAGCTGATACACAAAAGAAAAAAAAAAACTGATGAAATTGGGATTATTTCAAGTAACATTTAATGTTTCTTTCAAAAATAGGAAAAATATTACAATAAAGATATTAGAAGGAGCACGAACTAATTTATCTGCCGCCCATTTTTAACTTCAAAAAATAACAACTGTGCAGTGCCCCTTTGAGCATTTTCAAATTTTACCTCTAAGTTATAACATAAAAGCCATCCAATATTTTAAAGCTTTTATCATGCAAAAGATATAGAAACAAAACACAGACACATTATGAAGGTCATCAGTCTCTTTTAATGGGGGAACTGTATATTTCAATCTTGTTTGGATTAGTACATAACCAACCAACCACCCAGCACAGAAACAGCTGTAAAATATATTTGATTTCGATTCAAGAAAAATGGGTCTCCAATTTCAATTGAGGGCAAAGAAGATGTAGTCCATATTTAATAATTCATATTTATTATAAAAATACAACTTTCATCAATATACATTTAACAAGCTTCTGCCCCGCAAGTATATTACTAGAAACCCTAAAAACGTTGTGTGAACTTCAATTTTCCTCTTATTGTAGAAACATTACAAAATTAGCAAAGCTAGATGTGAAAATGTATTAATAAAGAGCCAAAAGCCTTAAGCTTTAATGAAAAAAGTCCAGTAGTAGCTAGTACATCTGGTAGTGAGTCAACACAAATGCAAAAATGCTTTATTATCAGAGTAAACTGTTGTCTGCAATGACAAAAGAAAATACACAGTATCAAGTATGTATTCACCTTGAACATTGACCTCCATAATTATTTTATCATCTTGATTCTCCTGAGAGGCAAGACCCATTTTTAGAATGCTTACTGAAACCAATAGATAACTTTTACACCAGTCAAACCAGTGGATTTATCTTCAATTTTATTGGCAACATACCAAATCTATAGTTAAATAGTGAAATTCTAAACACTGGGTCACAAACTAACAGGCTTCTGAATTACACCCTAAAGACACAAAGGGTATCCGATCATCTGGCTCATTTTCTAAGAGAAAGGGTAAGAGTGCATTTTCTCCTATATAGAAATATCCTAACAAAACAGTTATTGGATGTCAAATATATTTAAGATCCTGCACTACAGAGCATCATTAAGTATTTTAACTGATAAAACTTAAATATTCTGCCATGCCATAAAATACATACTTGTACTTTTGAAAGAAGTTTGGAGCTTCAAAAAGTTTGGACCACTCTGCCTTACTCAGCAAAATTTCATCTGTGATAGCAAGACCTAAATTATAGAAAAACATTTAAGCTTTTTTTTTTTTTTTTTTTTTAAATACAATCTTATATCCACAGAAAAACAGCTTATTAACTTAACAGATGTTATTGTAGGCAATTTTCCCCCTTCAAATTCAAAAGGAATCTACCAATGAGCTTTACATTCTATTCAGATCTTAAGTAATTATTTACAGATAATTTTTCAAAAAACATGCTCAAATTAAAATTAATTCTGACTGATGATTACATCTTTGTTTTCTTTGTAGCGTACACAGCAAAACTTAAATTTTCATGTTCACCAGAGTTCACTCCATGTTCACTCCAAAGAGATGCCTTTCACTGCTTCAATCATCTATACAAGCTTTTTTTCAATCACCCGTGCAAGGGTCTTTTTTTGTTTTGTTTTTTTTTTTTATGATGACGGGGCAAAGAAACAATAAGAAAATGAGCTAGACCCAATGAGAACTACCGGTGGTTGCCCCTCTGTACCTACTTCTTGCTTTGATTACATTATCTTTTAGCTAATATAATTAGTGAATTAGATATAGAATAGAATAAACTAACGAATTCAGAAAAAGCCTTACATACATTGCCTTATATTAAGGTCAGCAATCCCACCTGATGGCAGTTACTAATCTATGTGGCAGGACACAAGCCATAAACATAAACCTAAAAATCAAAGATGTGATTTTCAGCGCACTAGGCACTAATTAATCACCCTCAGTTTCTAAAAGTTAAGAAGAATTCTTGACTGAACCACAGAATTCCGTGCTGACTTTAGAACATCAAGCCACCCAGGTGTAACAGACTAACTTCATCTCTCAAAATAGATTCTCACATTACAAAGTTACTTAATATCCCTCCACCCCAAAAGTATACCCAAAATTGAACTATTTTAAATCTTTTTGAACACATTTATATAGAGAGCATAAGATAAATACTTACCTTGTTTAAATTCCTCAACCATGACCATCCGTGTGGAAACGGACACATTGTAGGTAGAGTTCTGCTGTGGGTATGCTGGTGTAATTATAGGCATAAGATGGTACCTATCACTGGGGTTTACCTATACATAACAACAGCCAATCAGTTTATCTTCAAGCATACAGATAAGTTAACAAATTTGGATTTCTCCCTTTGCTAATATTGAGTCAAGTTCTAAGAGATCTCAGTCTGTTGGCCAAGCAAATTTACAAATAGTTCAGAAAAAGTTTAGAATACAAGGATAGTGCTTTGACAAAGGACACTACTCTGAAACAGTGTTGTGGGAGGATTATAACCTGTCAGCACATAAGATGCAGAAATCCAGAAATACCAACTGAAAAGAACCATTTCATTCCATTTAATAGAAACTAGCTTGTTTTTACATCAAAACAAGGATACTTCATCACCACATGAGCATCTTCATAGGAATGACTGTTTTCAGACATTGTGAAAAATACTTGTACTTTATTTCTTGGATTATGGAAAATAAAGAGCCAGCCTAACAACTGAGGCTCTAGGTATCCTGAGAGAAGCAACGCTTGCATTAATATATCTTTTATTGAACAGTACACAGGGAAACAAAAAAGGAGGGACAACACACGCACACACACATGCACACACACAGAATACATTAAAAATGGCATTAGGGTAGCAATCTTGTAGGTAGTAAAGATAAAGCCCTGTCATAACTTGTCCCACTGTATCTAGCTGCACAGGCAATTCTGTGGTATCACATACTGATCTCAAACCCACTGTCCCAGTAACAACAGTTGATAACAGTAAATATTCTTTGTCTCACACTGCTTAAATGTGGACATCTGTCAGTCAAAAAAACAGATTTAAAATACTAACAGTTTCAAAACTCAACCTCTGGTGCTTACTCTATTGCCCCAAAATGATGAATTGAACATTAAGTAATTTAAAATTGGTAAAACACCACTAAATACATCCACACTATCCTCTATAGAAATCTTTGAATATCACTATGTGTCAGTGGAAAACTGTTTCTTTGACTACCTGAAGGATATTCATGTCTAAAGCCTTCAATATGGGTGCTACAAAGATTGTAAACAGCATAACCAAAAACTTAAGACATCAAGATATGATCTTCTTCGGTTCAAGATGAAGAGACGTTTACATATGCAGTTACGTATAACTGAGCCCACCCAACTGTGATCGTTGCATTAAAGTGAATTCACTAAAATTGCAAAAATTAACAGACCTTAAGGCTGACAGAAAAGTTTTAAGTAATTTTTCAAAAATGCACGGTTGCAAGGCATATCTAGTTATACTGAATACTTAAGAACACCTGTTACAAAAGTTGTGGTAAAAAATACATTGTTCAGCAAGTGTCCTTCAAGCAGTAAGTTTACAAAATTAAGCTTTGCTGCATATTCAGGAGAATCACAGATAACTATGGAGAAGACATACCCAGATATTGATTTTATTAAATCTACAATGAAGTTCACCTACTATTCTTTAAGCAACTGAATTTATTGTACAGTGTGACTTATAGGGGAAAAAATAATACACTAACCCTTGGGTCCCATACAGGCAAATTAAGATTGCATTCTTCTGGCTGTTTCAATAGCACTGGATTTGGCCATTCCCTGTTCAAAAAGATTGTAGCACTGAATAAGACTATTGGATACAACCACGTATGTTCAACAAACAATACTTCTGAATGTGACTCTTCTTAACTCTTCTCAAGTATCATTTTCTCAAGACAAAGCTGGACTAAATGTAGTTCTTCACATAACTTCTAGTGTTGAACTACATCATAGCTTTAATAGGCTTCTCCAGAACATCAGAACAATTAATTTCTATTGTTTTGGAACTTTAAAACAAGTAGTTTAGGTAACTGAAGTAAACAATAAATTCTCCTCAATGAAAACTGATACTGAATCCATCTTCATGCTAGCCCTTCCACAGACAAAATACAAAAGCAGCTAGCACGATAATTGCTCTGTAGCATCATTAAAAAGAATACGCACTTAAATACGAAAGAATTTTCCAATCAAATTGCAAAAAGAAACCGTACTGAAAGAAACACTAAAACACAAAAATACCACTTATGCTCTAGATGTCTTTACCATCACAAGCACTGCTAATCTTCCTTATAAAGAGCAGAGAGCAGGTAATTGGTATTCATAAATTAATGCTCCTATGGAATGCACATACAAAACGTACAGCAGTGTAAGGCACAAATAGAGCCTAGAACCCATTTTTTGTATCAGACTCAATATGCTCTATCCTCAGAGGCTATAAAACCTATGAATTCAGAACAGCAAAACTACAGAACTAAGGAAAAGCCGCTATACTTGAAATAAAGGTACGTTTTGCTGCAGTGATTCTAAAGGTATGTCCATGTCTCGTGAACAATACAGTCTCCAGAGATGTTCCTTCAGGAGAAGCAGTGTTCGTAACCTGTTAAGTATACTTCTATCCAGTTCATTTTAAATTTACTTTGAACTTACCCACTGTTCCCCTAAGTTATACAAACCAGCTTTCTAAGGTAACTATCTCAGTAACACAAAACCAAACACCTACATCTCCACATTCACAAAATTTAAAAAATAAAAATCAACAACAAAAAAACTTGTCACTGGTTCTCTTGAACTGCATTTAAGTTATATGCCTATACCAGCTTACTGATATTCCTTTTTTCACCATCATCTCAGTATCTGAATGTCAAAAGACTTCAGATTTCTGATGCCTGTTCTTATTTAGCCATACAAGGATGAAGGGTAATGTTGATTTATAACAAATACTTAAGAAAATTAATAAAAAACTAAATATTTTTGTTTCAGTTACTTTAAGAAAAAACTTGTTGGATGACTTTTATTGAAAAACCCAAGCTAACTACCTTCTGGCAGCAAGAACAATGCTCATCACTATTAACTTAATCTGGTAGCAGCTGAAAAAGATACCATAAAAACAGGACTAAAATTTAGTGTCTACAAAACAATTTTATTTTAGTGTAAACTAAATTTTAAAAAAACATACCATTTAGAAAACACCAAGAAAAATTTATGTACAAGAGTTGATGCTATTGCATTTGGATAAAGCTGGCAAGTTCTTGCTACTAGCATAGCCCAGGAAACACCGCCAAGGAAACCTAGTATATTGGAATAGATGTTGTGGCCTGTAAATTGAGAAGGAAAGAGACAAAAAAGAGAGAGTTATCAGCAACCTTAAGAGTTAATGAAAACTTCACAAGTTCTGGAATAAAACTGCTTACGTTTTGCCCACAGTTTGATAGCTCTCAGTGTTAACCTGAAGTTGTCAATGTTTGGTACTAGATGCAGAATTTCATCGGTTACCCGGCAACCTGCCAATACAAAAAAACCTATTACATTTGCTGCCTCAAGTGTTTTTTTTTTTGCCTCTTCTTCTCTCCCACCTTAAAATTTGTCAAACTTTAGATCAGCACGTTAGAAGCTTATTTGGGACTTTGAAACTGTTATTTTGCATCTGAAAACTTGATTATTTTGTTACTTGATAATTTTCATCTTGTTTTTACAGCAGCACAGAAAGCCTGGAAGCCTAAAGTCAAAGCTTGCAGGAATTTATGACAAGAACAAGCTAAAGAGAACAGCGTTTCAACATATTCATTGTATCATTACTACATATGCATTTATATTACTTGATGTATTTAAAAGGAATTTAAAAGGAATTAAAGGAATAATAATAATTATTAATATAAGCTGCAGAGAGCTGGTAGCAAAAACAACAACAAAAAAGTTTTGTATATTCTCCTAAGGAATAGAAGGAAAATGTGAAAAGACAAACAAGAATTCTAGAAACCACACAAGGATTTCACAAAACAATGGGAATTGGGATAATCCTAGCACCCCATTGCCAAAAATGTACAATTTTCACTTGATATTATCAAATGTTCAGACTGTACAGAAACCAGTGATACATGTGCTCCTCTCTCTCATGTGCCAAGTTGCATATTGGCTGGAGTCTCCTCTCCATAAATAGGTATTTTTTAAGATGTAATATTACAGAAACGTAAGTTTTTCAAGCTGGTAAACTACTAGAGATCCCAACTTGATCTGGGAGAATTTTGAGATCCCCAACTGATATCCTTGAAGTGATTCTGTATAAGTTTATGCATACTAAAACACACAGAATTTTTAAAAATGCAGACATCTTTATTTATATAGAAATAGGTAGTGCTATACATTAAGAAGTCTTCCAGTCTTATTAATTTCTACAGGGCATCATTTATTCAATTGAGAGGAAAAGCTTCATAAAAATCTGGCTGACAAAAAACAACTCTGATATGGAGTTCCTGCATTTTTACCTAAGTCTGCAACTCATCTAATACATCAAACAATCTAAGATACTTATTAAAAGATTTGACAAAGTCTGTATAAAATTTGCGTATACATACCATTAAGACTTCGTATGCATCTAATGTCTAAATTTTTAAGTAGGCTATCATCTCGGAGGTCTAAGTCCTCAGGAATAGTTTGCAGCGCTAATCTTGCAAACAAAATATCAATCTTTGAACAAAGAAAAAAATAGAAAAACATTAGATAGCTCTTCTTCTCTTCTGTAATCCATTTTCATGAAGTTGACTAAGTACAGCACTCTTCCTAGTACAACTAATCTATTTAAACAACACACAGTAACACCCCTCACAATCATTAAATGAACCATTTTTAGATGTTTTGTCTATTTTAAGACTCATTTTCCAAGAGGGTAAAATATATATTAAGACCAGTGCATAAAAATTATGCCCACTGTTAGTACAAAAATCCTCGAGGGACAAATAGCACTTCTAGGTCCAGAATACTGGCACAGCAGAATTTTGTGAATTATGAAAAGGTAAGCCAGAATGAACTGAAATAGTTGACACTGTCACCAAATTACAGAAAAAGGAGAAGCTTCTATTTCAGTTGGAAATACTATGTCAGTTGCTCCAAAAGCAATGCCTCCTATTTATTTCCACAGAAACTACAACAGATACAAAGAGCACAATATTATTATTTGACAGAAAAGACTCTCAGTTAAAAAACACTTTTCAACACAGTCACTACACAACTATGCATTTTCATCAATGATGAACAAGAGCCTGCATGCCACACTCGTAAAAATCTGCATGGTCATCCAGAATGCGGCTTCACATTTTTTCCCCACATGGAAGACAGTCTCACACCTTCGCTTCTAAAGCACTACCAATCAGAACTGTTCCTCTACTGCCATCTGTCACATGGCAACAAAATGTAACTGAATATTCTCCAGAGTTCCACCTCTACTGCCAGACCACCAACATATGCATCTGATGCCCATGAGCCAAGATAATAAAATAGAAGGCATTGATTTCTGAGCAACTATCACTCTATACTTCAAAATAAACTACTATGACCATTAGAAGGCCTAGCAGCTCAAAAGTTCTTCAATAATAAAGACATTCCAAATCAGGAAACGAACTGCCTACTCTGTATCATTTCTTGGCAAGAAAAAAACCAAATCATTTATCTACAGGAAAAAGCAAAAATCAAGAATATTTATTCTTATTTTAAGCAATATATGCTACCAGTATAAAACAAACTAACAGAAAATTTTAAAATCTAACTGACAAGATCACCACATAACTGAGGCCCACTACATAACTGATCATTGAGGCATTTCCCTCAGATCTAAATGTTTTCTTCACAGAAGAGAAAGTAACTCCTGGCACCTTCTGCCTTTATTATTAAAGAAAAACTAAAGAAAAATCTTCAAATCCCAATGTACTTGACACAAACAAAACCATCAGAAACAACACCTGCACGTAAGACAACTTCTTATCATGAGTTTGTTCAAGACAAGAGATCTATTTAATGTACTGTCAGAAATATGGGTTAAGTCTCCACTCATAAATCTAAGCCACCATATCCCATCATTTACAGATGAGTGAAGCAGAGCTAAATACTATTACACTTATAGTAAATAGTCCTTTTAGTTCCCCCCTTTTCACTTTTCAATATTACAGAGAGAGAGCAAACATTTGTTAGAACATGAGTGAAAAAAAGAATACAAATAACCAACAATATCTATGACAAGTTTCAATATTTAGTAAGAATATTTGAACTAAGTAAATAGAAAATGTTATCCAGAAGAATGTTCCTGGTGTCCAACTGTAATAAACTGTCTGAAATAAATGAAAAATCATATTCTAGCTTACCATATAGTATCACATACCTCTGCACATCTCTCTAATTTGGAATAAGTACATCTCTCCAGCTAAGCATCAATTTACATAAATGTCAGTGAAAATACAAAAAATAAAGCTGGAATTGTGAGATGATTCATCATCTTCTTGAGATTCAGAAACTGCCAGTACCCTAAGGACGGTTATAATTGCAAGGAAGAGATCCAAATGACACTGGGAGAGAATGAGCTCTACAATGCTACACCTAATTACAGTTACTCTTCAAACTGTGTAACATGTCAGACAATTAGCTGGGGTATTTTTTCCTCACTGTAAACCCTTCTTACACCCACCAGTTCGAGTTTTATTCAAGTAGACCTCTGAGAAACTGTGTATATGAATGTGTATATTTCTATCATGTCTTGTCATCAAGAAAGTGACAGGCTGCCTGTAAGATGGTCTGAAAAAAATTTATAGTATACTCTAAGAAAACAGAATAGTTTTCTTCAGCACTTCCCAAAATAGTAAAAATCAGGTTAAGCAAGTTTATTGCTCCACAAGAACCAATCTGTGAGGCTACAGACAAAACGGACAGAAGCAATAATTCCGGTCACCTTAACAAAACCACAAAGACATAGGGGTGAAGGGGCTAGCTAACTCCCTTCAGCAACACATTCCTAAGATTCTCCTTTAGTATAAGCTATTAAAGCACATCTGAATTTGAGCTTTGAGCAGTTAATAACTAAAAGTAAAAAAACCTACTGAAAAAATTTATGATCTAAATTATTGTCAACAGTAATACTGGTACCCCATAGGTCAGTAACTAATCAATACAAGTGGGTAAGAGAAAAAGAAGAATAAAAAAAGGAATGGGGAGATCTTCACACAACTTCTTAAGCAGGCTAAGAAGGGCTAGTCTTAAAAGTGCACTTTGAGGTTTCACAACCAAGGACTGTTGTCAACTACGTGAATATGAATTTAGTACGGTCACTTTAACAGAATTTGTATTCACCAATATTATTTAAGGAAATGCTGAAATTTTGCTTTAACCACGTTCTACCAAAATAAAAAGTAAAATCTTTACCTCTATTCCATCAAAACATAGTTTAATAACTGGGACAAAAGCTTCTTCAACAGCCTAGGGAAAAAAAAAAGTTGTATTTTACTTGTAGTATAGAGAAAAACAAGCAGTAGCCAGTAGATCTGAACAATCATAAGGAAATACCACATATACAGATGCTTTCCTCTGCTTCCAGTTTTATTTGTTAGCTACATGTTTTCCACCAAAGAGGAATTAAACACTGATCTACTATGCACTACAGATACCTTGATTTAACTTACAACCCAAATTCACGTTAGCCAGCTCAGATGATGTTACCTCTAGGTCCAACGTTTTTTTTTCCCCTCACTACACTGTAGCTCACAATCAAGCTTCTTTTTTTCCCCTTTTCCTCTAAATATTCTAAGACAACCTATGGAGATTTTTATTTTAACAAATACCTTATTTTCTATTATTTCTGCAACCAATATTACATGAGAAATGACAAAAAGCAATTTCATTCCCATTTAAAAAAAAAAAAAACCAAAACATCAAGTATCTTTTCTAAATGGGGTCATTAATGAGATACTCAAACAAATAGCATCTTCAGCAAAAAAAAAGAAATATTGTACCTACTCTGCAATCTGCTAGGAATACCATCTTCCTGAACTGAACTTTACAGTAGACGCAAATATGCAGGGAACTGCTTTTGTAAAAGTCTGAATCACAACTAAAAAAATTTATAGTAAATTTTGAAAGCCAGATTATTAAAAAGAGTTCAGACACCAAAGCATTAGAACAGTAGTTTCAGCGCACGTAGCATTACCACCAGATGTTTGCACTACACTGATGGAGTTACTAACTATGGGATGCACGGAGCAAGAGAACACTGCAGAGACAGACAAGTTTATTTTAGGACAAAGTCGGATTAAACCAAAGAACTTTAACATTTGCCAGCAATTACCTTCATCTAAGGAGGAAGAACTGAAGCTGAGAAATTCTACTCCAACCTCACTCTATGAAAAATTAAAACTCCCAGGCTGATCTAGGAAGGCTTGTCATTCACGTATAATAGAGAACAACATTCTTTTTTTTTGCTACTGCCTTTTTGTTTCCTCAGAGGGAAATCTTCATCTTTACACAATGGCCATCTTGCACAAGCATCTAAAAATGCAACCTCGATTTTCAGAATCACAGTTGACAGACAACATAAAATACCTAGTAAATATCAATCACTGTAATGGTTTACATATGCACAACATTAAAAAGTATACCGTTGTGCTACTGTTTTTAAAACTTTCATCAAAAACAAATTAGCCTGAAAGAGATCAGGACAGAATACTTTTACATTTGCCTCTGCCACAGAAATCAAGCCAAAATTTTACAACACAGGGCCAGGAGTTTCTTCTGTCATCCAGACTTTGAAACGATTGTATCCAGTAAATGAAACAAACCAAAAAAAAACACTGCAAGAATCTCTAAATATTTCACATATGTTGATACATTTTGCAACAGTTTAACTAAAAATCCACGCAAGCCTTGACACCAAATTTGCAATTACTTATTCAAGGAACCATCTTGCACTTCCCAACATTATCACTTCAGTCAGCTCTATTAAGTAGATCACATACCCTCAAATCTTTTACTTCTTCTTGCTGTTTCAGTTTTTCATAAAATGATGTGAAAAAATCACTTCTTTCAACATGTCTTGGTGCAACACACAGGGCATCAATATCAGCACCTGGAAGTGTTCATTGATGCAAGTAGGTTACTCACACTTCACACACATGAAATGCCAACAGTAGTCAGATTTTTCTTCTAGAATAAAGCAAAATTTAGTTTTTCTTTCTATAGCTGCTCCCAGAGTTGACTGGGAATGACTTTTTAAAAGTTCATGCCATGAAACACACAACACATATATCCTTTTATTTTGCCATATTTGCAATAATTTTCAAAACGAACAAGCCATGAGAAGCCAAGTATGCAACCTTCTTGTTTTTTTTTTTTTAGCAACTTCCCATGTGTTCCCCCCCTCCCTGCTTTTTCCAACCCACAAGAGCATGGATAGATCCATGTTTTAACTTACAATGAAAACTAGTGGCTGACAAAAATCTAACACTTCAGCACGACATTTAGATATGTCACTATCTCAGACATAGAACAGTTTTTATAACAAATGCAAATTTTACCTTTTGTATGGACCCCTAATCTATAGGATCCAAATGTAAAAATTTTTCCTCCAACATTTTCTATTACAGACTGTGGAAGATTCTAAACAGAGCAAATAAAATTGGTTATTTTTACTTTAGCAAACTATAATGGCACATGTATTACAAAAGGAAAAATATCCATAAAATTCATGTTATTACAGATTAACATCTTTTTGAATAGCAGTTCACTCCTTATACAGACGTTGTTTCGGATTAAAAGAGAAGTACATTTTGCATTTATGAAACTTATTTGTAACATCACAACTATGCTAAACTTTACTGCTTCAGTCTTGGTAATCATTTCTGCAGTTCTATACCTCAGGAGCTTCAAAATATTACAGATGCTCAACTCACCTTTCTTAATGCTTGAGCACTTTAAGCTGACTTCAAAATTATGACATTTAAATTTAAAGCAACAGAAAAATATCATTTACAGTACCAATGTTTATTACATTACTTTCATTCAGAGACATCAAAATTACATTCTTTAAGGTAAGTTTGTGTTTGTGTGAAAAGTTATTTTGCACTAAAATTGTTTAGTTCCACTTACTATCATAAAGATACTAAAGTTCCCAGGTTTGTATGTTTAAAGAACTTTTAAAGCCACAGCTTCACAGTGGCCAAAGACAGTTATCATTTCAGAATAGGATGCACTATGTTACAATTCACTGGTAGTCACACAGCAAAAGACAAAGAAATTGAAAACAAACTATAAAATAAAGTATGTTGGATGAACTTCAAGTAGTTTCAGATTTTACACCAGTCAAGATCCAGTTTCTATTTTGTTTCCAAGGAACAACTTGTACATTATGTGCTTTGTTCTTTCATAATGTCCTTTCTTCTTCTTTTTTTTTTAAATAACCTTGTACTTGTCTAAATGCCCATTTCATAAAAGAAGCACAGAGAATGAATACAACTCTAAACATGCTCAAAACAAAAACAGCTAAAAAAAAAAAAAACAACTAGAGTTCTCTTCTCCTATGATGCATCATTTTATAATTGGTAATACATATTGAAAATATCCCGATACAGCAGTCTTAGACTGAATTATTTCAAGTAAAATATATCCATACCTTGCTTTCACTGATTTCCCGTATCCATTCCTTTACCAGGTTGTTCAGTTTTCCCAAAATTAAAATCCTATTGATAGAACAGCAGAATCACAGACCACGAACATAATAGCACAGTAACACTTTCTTAAGACCTTGATTATCATTATACAATGAACTGACTAGAGTAACATTGTAGATGTATTCTAGAGATGAGATCTATAATTACAATGAAACAAAGGCACTCTTAAAATAGTCACACCACTTTTTCTTCCTTAAGGATATTTCAGTAATTTAAGTTTTGAAGCAACGCAAGCATGCAAGGTTTACACACATTTTAGATAAATGGATTCTACACACTTTCAAAAAACAAAAACAGATTAAACCACATGAATCTTAAAGAAAAGCAAGAAAAAAAAAATTCTAACAAGCTTATTAACAAGGAAAAAAAAAAAAAAAAAAAAAAAAAAGAAAGACGAGCAACTAGAACAAAACAGTCACGGGAAAAAAAATGCAAGCCAATCTCCTATATTTACAGGCTATTTTAATTCTAACACACTGCTCTTGAAGATAGAAAATAAATTCAGTATTTCAGGAAGCTTTTAAAAAAGCATCTAAAAGAATGCAAACGTGCTTGGGGTTCAGCAGTTAACCATGTGAATGTTGAGATAAGAGAAAACTGGTGCAATCATGTTCACTCACCTGCGTTGCAGTTCTTCTTCCTCTTCAAATACACCATAGGGTTTAAGGGTTTCAATCAATTTCTGGGTAAGCATGCAGTCAATCTCCTTGGGGGCAGCTAAACTGATAGGTGAGGTAATGCCATAATGCTTCTGCAGTTGCTGTGTTTGTGATCCCTGGGTTGTAACAGGACTAATAAAGACAATTGGATAAGTTACTGACAGAAACAACATATATATTTCATTCTTATCTGAGTAGCAAACACAACACACACCAAAGAAAAAAAAATAAAGCCTGCTGATAGTCACATCCCAGACCAACCTGTATTAATTCCGAGTTATTACGGATAGTGGTACAATTACTTTTCTGTTGCACTGTTGCAAATTTCTATGAGGCACCATCTTCTGTATCAACTGACTTTACACAAAACACTCACCTAAGTAAGAAAGTTTTAGCACATTCTGAGCTCAACAGCATCACATAATTACCTTTAAGATGACTTTTCTTCTGGCTAGCAATACAGGATGGTTTAGAGGAACAATGACAGCTCAATTTTTGTTGGCGAAAGTACTGTTATTCTGTGAATCAAGGCTATGTGTATGTTATAGGTTGAAAGGAACCTTTCAGGATCATCTTTTCAAACTAAATGAATAGTTATCAGTCAAACTACAAGCACAAGGACAGTACTCAAGTCAATTCTCCAGATTTCAAGGTTTTGAAAGGACAAGCAAGCAAGCAAGCGAGTTTAACGAGAAACACAGAGGTGAAGGTATCATAATATTATGAAATCAGTAACTGCCTTCTTAGATTAGCATCTGGAGTACGTGAACAGCTAGGCAGTTACTGATGATCAGTACGTATTTGTGACATTCATGTTCAAGCAGGGCCTTATTTTCAGAGCAGCAATTCTGAGTATTTCAAAAGTAAATATGCTCCTATGAAACATACAAGCGTTTAGAATCCATGACTGCTGCACACTATACTCATGTAGTTAAAGCTTATTTGAACTAACAAAAAACAGTTAAAAACTCTTAAACTTGCTCCATATCACAGAAATGATATATTCCTAACAAGTGCAATAGCCAAATTTTAACAGTTAAGAACTTAGGACCCTTGCTGCTTATATACTTCAGAGATGTAAAAACTACCCTATGTAAATCTGTTAAAGTAGCTCTATATATTACTTGCAGCATTAAAAATTAGTTTTATATGGACATATTGACTAGTTTCCTCTAAGTTATGTATATTACTATTTTTCTATCCGAAAGTGACAAATCACAAAGTATACCAAAAAGAATGTTTCCATTAAAATATGAAACAAACTTGTTAATGAGCTCTTACAAGACCAGTATTATAATCCCTCATTACAATGCATCTCAAGAAAAGTAGACATTAAATAAACAGCTACTTCAAAAAGCTTTTCCAACATCTAAATCATTATCTGAACATTAAAGCAATATTTGTATAAAGGTGTTTTATATTCAGTGTTACGCTCTTGCTACACAACCTTACTCCTTCAATACTATAATGCAGTGTTTGCATTTAACACCAGATGTACATAATATATTACTAGTTTGGGCTCAGATTAGACATTAATACTTCTTTTTCATGAATTCAACTATTCATTCTACAAGGGAAAAGGCTCTATTATCAATCTGATCTCCTTTAGCTTTCACAAAATCTAAAAAGCAATTTGTCTCTGTAAGATATTCAGACTGACCATGTCTACGAAAGTCTCGTTCTTGGCAAATGTAACACTCCCCAGTGTATCACTGTATTGTCCCTCCTCCATGTTTACACGCATCACTGCATTACCAAAAGTAAAATAAAATAAAACAAAATAAAGTAGAATTTTCACCTAACTACTGCACTGCTAAGAAAAGCTACTGCACAACTTTATTTTCACTTCCATCATCTGGCCATCATCTGCTCAGGACTTAATTCCTCATTTTTATGAAGACTGAATATTGATACAAGCATATAAACTTAAACTGACCAAAACCAACAAAAACAAGTATAACTTTCCACAAGTTAAACTGATTTAATTCAAGTGATTTTGAGCCCTATAATTTGTTCTTTTGCAAGCTAAACTTTCCGCTTAGCAAGTCCTCGCATAATTGTCCTGGTACAACTGCCGATTGGAAAAAGGAAAAAAGGAAGCAAAGCAGGAAGAAAAAAAAATATCAAAAATAGTACATAAAAATCAACCTTAAGTAATCATCTCTGAAAACATTATTTAACACGTCTGCCTCTAACTAAGGTTTTAATTGCCAAGCAAATAATTTGGTAGCATCTGAAACATTCATACAGACCTTAGGACTTTTTGTGAACGAAACCACTGACGAATTATACAAAGCAGAAATTCAAGTTAAGGACAAAGTAAGTTACTAAACAATCTCATTTTAAAGAGAATCTTCTTAGAGATGTCAACATTAACAGTACTTTCAGCCATTTGAAAGAATCATACAGTAACCCAACTTGGAAACTACTCATAAGGATAATCAAGTCCAACTCCTGGCTCCACACAGGACCACCCAAAAATTAGACCATATGTCTGAGAGCACTGTCCAGACTCTTCATGAACTCCAGCAAGCTCAGTGCCATGGCCACTGCCCTGGGGAGGCTGTTCCAGTGCCTGACCACTTGGTCACAAAATATAAGCTCTCAATACATAAACATCCCTTGCATGTTATGCACATTTTTAGTTATACCACAAAGCAGGTAGGTAAATTTGAACTACAACTTCTCTTTTCCTTTGCCAACTTTTTTTTTTTTTTTTTTCTAATTAACATTCTTTTGAAATGCTACAGTTTGTTTTTACAGGTTTTTAAACCAGTAAGTTAAAACAATGATTTAGTTTTACTTGCATATTTTTCTCCCATAAACTTGCTAAGCTTCACTCATCCATAACTACATGCAATTCAACAAGTACTACACTTCACAGAAAAGTCTGACTAAACCCACATTGGCAGAAATGGTTTCTGTATTAAAAAAGACTCTGACACAGAGATAATAAAGGAGACTCCTGAAGTCAAATCAGTAACGCTGACCGAGTTCTCTACTGACATGTAGTGAAGTTAAGGCCATTCCATAAGCTCCTTCACACACATGTAATAATTGCATAAGATATTGCAGAGGTATAAGAGCAGAGTGTAACAGGTGTGCCATTAAAATGGAAGTTGGAGAGAAATGGAGACTCTGTGGCCAAGTTCTGTGATCCACAGTAGGTCCCTAGGCAACCTTAAGTGTCCACAACACAGGAGAATCTTATGTACTGACTCTTAAGAACAAAACCTGGATGGGGACATGGTGGTGGGGCCAAACTGCTTACCTGCCACCCTGACCAAAAGTCTGTCATCCTTTTGACAAAATGCCATCTTTTGGTGAACTTTTGCCCATTATAATGCCGAAACACACCTCCATCCCAAAAGCTACCATCTCAAAGGCACGACCACTGACCCTGCACTCTGAATTTTTTTATCCCATACCTTTAAAAGCAACGCATGAGAATTTTATGCCAATCAGAATAAATGTAATGACTAGTGTGACTCAAGCTCCATTGGTAGAGTAAGAAATAGAATGAAATGGATTACAAGAGAAAATATGGGAGAGAGTACCATTGCAGACAAGACAGGACATCACTGGTCCATGGGATCTGTCAACAGGCTGAGCCTGTCTTCCTCCTCTATACTGACACCTACTGGAAAAGGCCCACACAACCCACTACGCTGATAGAGAAACTCAGTAATCTCTGCAGAGCCTGTTTTATAACCTAGCACACTTGGGAGCAGGCTGTATTACTCTTAGTTCTTCACATGCACTTTGCATTATTCTTGGTTAACCTCACATACTCTGCAGATAGTGAATTATCACCAGCAATCTAAAAGAATCTGTAATCTGTTGCAAATAAACTGCACCATTCACTAAGCTAGTCACGTGACTTCTGCATGGGCATGGCCAAAGTTCTTTCAGAGATTGAGCTGTGTGAGTTTTGACTGATTGAACACCACTAGACTAACAAGGGAGATGTGAGTGAGCTCACTGACCAGCGCCACACAAATCAGGCAGCACACTGTTAGTGAATTCGTAATCATGATAGTTCATATATCAAACTGGACTTATGGTGCCAAATCAAGCATTACTCAGAAGACTGCCCTCAGTACAACAGCATATCAGAAGGTATCAGCAAAGTACAGAAGAAATGCTATTCAGCATGGAAAATTTGTGTAAAATTCATTTTGGGATGCAAAAAATCAATCAAGTTCTACGTAACTCGCGTTCATCTACGTAAGTGACAGCAAATCTTCAAAATGGTAATATAACACTTGGAAGTATGAGTTTCTTCCTCTACCTCTGATGAGAAAACAAATTTCAAATAAAGCATTTGCTCACAGCTTTATAAATGGAAAATAAATTATAACTGAAAAATAGAATTTAACCTTGTGCTTATTTTTAATGTTGTATTCACCTTACATTTTAGCCAGAAAACAATTAACAATCCTAGACCTGCAGCAAATTTACACAGAGGGAAAGGCCAGGCAAGTATCAACACTAACATTCTAGCTGAGAGGATTAGGGAAGTCCCTAGGATTGGGAGTGAGAAGGCTAGTCAAGTCCGCTTCTCATTGAAGTTAAGCATTAACAAAAACCAAGGAATATTAAATTAAAACAGAAAGTCCCAACCCAACCATTCAATCTTAACATAAGGGGTAGATTTGCTAGGCCCTATCAGAGTCCAGCAGACAACTCAAACCATGCTTATTTACTTATTCATTTTAATGAGACTAAACTTTTAAGATCATGAAGACTACGATATTCTTTGAGGCTGATGTTGTTTATTTCCCATCAACCACAAACACGCACAGATGTGGTTCCTGCACTACTATGAAAATAACATTTTTGCCCATAACACAATACAAAAAGTTGCAGAAAAATAAATGTAGACTTAAATTTAAAGACACTGTGGCTCTTGCTTTATTTTGTCCTGAACATTTAAGGAGCATAGGCTCTTCAAGCAGTTTACACCATCAGCAAACTCAACCACAGCTACGATGGTAGCATGCAATAACTCATATTCAAACATTAATCTCAAACTCTCAGAAAAGAACACCTGTAATGCAGTTTTCCCCCTACCAACCCCCTCACACACACAAAGTTCCAGTCTATATTAAGTTTACAGAAACGTAGCTAAGATACTTTTTTTCTCCTTCAGAAACCAAAACAGGTCGTATCTTACAGTTATCAATAAATACCGAATTAAGAAGAATAAACTCAGGTAATACAGCCACAGCTGAAACCATTTTACAACAGTGCAGAAAAAAAGAAGTTATCATCTAATTATCATGTCCAGACACATACAGGCAACACTGATGAAACAAGAAAAAACATGGACTGTCCTAAAGTAGTACCAGCAACCCACAGAAAGTTAACTTCAAATGTTTAACTTCAGTCAGGAATTCTGGCTCAGTCTTGCCTCCAGATATGAACATCCATCTTAAACACTCTCAGTAACTATCCTCTCTATTTGCCCCCACTGACTACATCAGTAAAATTCAGTCTGTCTTAAATATTGATAAGCCACTTAAGTTAGATTCCTGAAGCAACGCTGGTCATCACAACATCTGATCAATCAACTGGGGCTAGATTCACAAAGCTCAAGTTCCAGCATGTTAGATTTCAGAGAATGTCTCAACAAGTTTTGTTTATTTTGAAGACTTCACCATTAGGGATTGACCCGTCAATTTCAGATTAAAGTTTCTGTTTAATGCTAATGTATTAACCACTACACACATCATCTCAGGAATATACGAAAAGTCTCAATGAAGTCTGCACAAACCCATCCCTGGGAAACACACATTTCACCTTAAGACAATCCAGCTGCCCTTTCTGAGCAAAAGGTTTTCAAATTCAGCAAAAAATAAAGTGTGTAAATTGCCAGTATGGTAGGTTCAAGGCACCTAAAGCAGATGCAATGACAAACAACAGAAGTATGGAAGAAGAGATTCAGCTATGGCAATCGTCCCCTCTGGCTCATCTCTCTGGGACAGTCTTTGTACACAATAGCAAAAACAGCACGTCCAGACACACACCCATCCATGACATTCTTACTAACAACAGTTTCTGATGTTCTTCTGGTTTAAACTGCTGAAATTGTTTCTGCACTGTGCAGGCAGCAACTGAAGGGAAAAAAGAGAAAAAAAAAGCCACCCGAGATTTATTGCTATTCTTGAGACAAAACACTCAAGGTAGTAGTTTGAGAAATTCTGTAAGGCTGAATATCAGGAAGCAACAAAGACAGGAATCAGATGAAATGGTTCAATATTAAGAGATTAACTTGCCTCCAAGGTGAAATTCACCCAGCCCAAAATAACTGCACTCCCAAGTACTGTGTTGTATCTCTATCTTCACAGGTATCAAACTTTTTTTTTTTTTTTTCTGGAGTCACAGTAGAAGACTGAAAACTACCGCAAAAGCACCCATTTGCCTTATGGTTCCTACTGCACAACATCCAACAACTTCATCTTCAGCTGAATTTTTTAGATGAGTTTCCCCTTGACTATCAAAGCTTTAAGGCAGATTTCTCTGGAGTATGTCTGGTGCTTTCTGGAATTAGTAAGCATTTAATTCCTTCCAAAATTTAGTCTATAAAAACCTGAGCTCTGTTCAGAAACACAACAGTTACCTTGTCCCACTCACAAAGTAATACTTTTTTATAAACTTGACTTTCTGCTCTTAAAAAAAACAAACCACTACCCATGCCCCAAAAGTCAAAGACCAGTTAACAGAACCAACAACTTTCACAGCACTTCTACACTTAAGTGTTCAGAATGCTGATTCTGTGTGCTTTTTCCATTTATGGTTAAAGATAAAAAAGTTTTTTTTCACAAAGATTTTTACGAAGACTTCAGCAGATGAGTAAGTTCAGCAGAGAAGTTTTAGATGCAATAATATCATTAGTTTAACGAGAGTCAGATTTCTGTTTGGAGAGATCGAAAGGCCCAGGTTACATGAAGAGGCTGCATCATCAATTTACAGAAACACAGCACCACTTCATTGATTCCAAAACTTTTCTCCGTAAAACCTCATCCTTATTGAAATATATGGAACTCAGTGAGCTTCATTTCTCCCTGCCATCCTATGTTCTAGACAATGCTCACCAACAACTACTGTTTATCTAACAGTTAGCTGAAATGTATCTTTATAACACGAGAAATATTTGCTTTTTACTTTTGTTTCCATCAAGGCCTAGAAAAACAAACTACAAAAAACCCCTACAAAATTAGTTACATAAAGGAAATCTCTTCTTTTACACAAGGAATTAATGAAAATCACGGTAAACACAAGTCCCCAGGATAAATTTAATGCTTTTATCAACCATGAAAAGGCTTTTTCAAAAAATACCAGCTACTGGCCTCAATATAACCTGAGTCTGCTTTCCTACAACTGAAGCACCTTGTATGCTGCACACTTGCTGAGAACTTCAAACTAACGCTTTTGACATAAAGACTTATGAAAGCTGCTGGTTATGTGAGAGATCAGCTCTGACTTGGCTTGTCAACAGTAGACAGCATCCTCAAAGGTAAAGTTTACAGGGGGGTCTTGAAAGACCAGGAAGTGATCTGCAACTCAAACTATACAATGTTACTTAAGAATGTGTAGTTAAGGTATCAAATTTCAACTTCAAGAAAACTGAGCAAGGAATTCTACACCTTTTGAAGTAGAAGATCATTAGTGTTACAGTTCATTCATTAGAAGTAGCACAAAACTTTGAATGTTGTTATGAAACAAAGTCACAGCAAAATAAACTACAAACGAAAGCAAACAAAGTATCTCACTTCTCTGTTTTCCTTAAGAAACAAAGGAAAAAAAACAATCAATGAATTAAAAAAAATCCAATATGGCACACTTCAAACTTTCTGGCAACTTTTCATTCCGGAACATAATGAACATGTGCAAAACTTATCTACGAATACACTGCATTCTCATTATACATAGCTCAGAAATTCCTTGGGATGACCATTTTCCCTATTATCTTCACCCACCGTGGCAATCCTGCCACATATTTTTGTTTCAAATTATCTGCACCGTGATGAACACAGCAGTATTTTAGATTCAATAAGCAAACTGGGCTATTCTGTACGTGAACTGTACACACAACAACAGTGATTGCAGTTTTTCCAAATTATTTCTAAATCCAAATTATTTTTAACTCAACATCCCACCCTCTCTCAGGTGTACACATACCTTATACCTACAAGTCACACCCATCACTGACTTGTTCAGGATAAATAATCTATTAACATTCGCACTATGGAACAAAAGAGTTTTTTCATCTCAGCCATGTGCCGTCAAAACGGCGGCAAAAGAAAAAAAAAAAAGGGG